ATCGAGATCCAAATCGTCAGGGACGACCTTCGAAACCTTCAAGGGCAAGTCAAGTGGGTCGAACACATGGCCATGATCGCAGACGGCCTGACAAAAGTAGGTGGTTCGAATGTAGCTTTGCGGAAGGTGGTCATGTCCGGCATGTTTAGCATCAAGCCGACGGATGACGCCATGCAGTTGCGTGAGTCCGCCAAGAAGGCAGGCCACAGCACGGCCGAAATCAGAAGGTTCGGGACTCACCACATTTTGGGAGGCTGTGAAACTTGTGACATCGGTCGATCCATGCTGAGTCCCGAAACCTCTGTTGCCGTCCCGGCCCAATCATAGGGGCCGTATCTTACCCCAAAGCCATGCCGTCTTTTTGCAGGAAAAGGTTGTGAGGCGGCCGTGCGATCCACGTGTTCTACAATACTGTATACTGTATACTCAAGTTTCCCAAAAATTCTAGGGAGGGCCATTTAATTTGTTGTTGTTTTTTGTTTCCTTTTTTGGATGTTTTTTGTTTTTCGTGGCTTCTGGCTTCTGTGGCTTTTGGCTTTCGTGGCTTCTGTGGCTTCTGTGGCTTTTGGCTTTCGTGGCTTTCGTGGCTTCTGTGGCTTTTGTGGCTTTTGGCTTTTTGGCCTATCCATCTATTTGTCTATATCTATTTGTCTATATCTATCTGTCTATATCTATCTATCTATCTATCTATATCTATCTTTCTTTCTTTCTTTCGTTCTTTCTTTTTGGCAGCTGTTCTCCTTTCTCTTTTTGCATTTGCTTTTCCTGTTGTTTGCGTTGCAGAGACGAAACCAAACAAGGAAGCAAGCAAGCAAGCAAGCAAGCAAGATCCGCGCATCCTTTCGCTCATGTCTTCGATCCCAAGCTTGCTACCGCATGCCAACAGCATCGAACACGAGATTATTGGCACCATGACCCCGAAACTCGCACTTGGACTCGGTTTCATTTGCAGCCTCGCAAGAAGCTCTACGACCCTGCGAATGAGGGGGGGGGAGTTCAGTAGGCACATTTCGGGTCAAAGGATTACACGGTTCGATCACGACGTTACTTTTCATGGTTGTCCATCGTTTCAAGCCGTCAGCGGTGAAGAAGGTGCAACATTGGTAGACTACATTTACCTATGGTGAAGAGGTTGAGCTCAGCGCGTTCGCAGCGGCTTCAAAGAACAGACCTGGACCTCATCGAAACAAACGCCAGGCGAAGAACGAAGCCAAGCAAAAGAGGTTCAAGCCAATTGAGGAAGCAGTGAAATCCACGGCTGGCGTCATGGCTAAGCCCGTTAGCATCGTTCGCTACGACATGTCAAGTTTTCTTGAATCATGTGTGGAAGCGTACTGCGAGCTAGCGAAAGTGGATGTTTCCTCATTGAAGCCAGCCCCAACACCGTTCACGGATGCGGGTATCGCCAGGCCAACGTTGAATGATTCCGAACCGAAAGGTAGGCTTCAACCTATTGCCAGCAAGGTTCTCATGAAAATTCTCTTTGCGGCTAGGATGGCCAGGTTTGACCTACTCCGTGCAACCCAGAGTTTGGCCTCCCGGGTCACGAAATGGTCGACGGAATGCGACGTCGCGCTCCACAGGTTGGTTGCGTACATCCACCACACCAAAGACAGGTTCTTGGACGCCTTCATCGGCGATCCCTTGTCCGAATGTCAGATTTGGCTGTTCGCTGATGCGGACTGGGCAGGGGATGAAGAGGCCAAGAGCACCTCCGGGTGCACCACTGTCATTGTGGGTCCAAACACATATTTCCCAATCAACTCATTTTCAAAGAAACAAACCGTGATTTCCACCAGCTCCACCGAAGCTGAAGTGGTTGCTGCCAACCAAGCTCTTAGAGCAGAGGGTCTTCCCGTGTTAGCGCTATTCGAGAAACTCGCCTACGGTAAAGTAGCTACAAAGCTTGCCCCAAAGGGAAAGTATGCTGATGAGGAAGTGTTCACTCGCATTGACCCCGAAATTAACGAAATTCGGAACGGCAATGTCGATTCTGGACTGGACGTCTCAAACATTCAATGCTTGAAAGTTCATTTTCCAGAATTTTGCCAAGTTAAATTCATGGAAGACAATCAGGCTACCATCACGATCCTGAAGTCTGGGAATTCGTCATCCATGAAGCACGTGAACAGAACCCAAAACGTGAGTTTCAAATGGCTAAAGCAACAGTTCGAGCGGGAGCAATTCGATTTGGTGAATGTAGGAACCCTCTATCAAACATCAGACATCCTCACAAAGGCGTTCACCAACGCTGCCAAGTGGGAACACGCCCTTAGGCTGATCGGCATTGGGCAAAAGCTCGCTGACAGCCCGGTGCAGGCCGGAGCCCCAACCAGAACCGTGGTTTCCAAAGTCTTGCGGCAGGGGGGTGTTGCGCATGCAAACACATATGATAGATTGCTTATTGAGTTTTGTTGTTCTGCTGACTCTAAGCTTGGACAAATGCGCAGCGAATCGAAAGGGTGTAAAGTCATCCGCGTCACCATCAACGAAGATGCAACCACAAGCAAGTGCATGAAATGGCTTGACAAGGAAATCAACACCTTTAAACGACAGCGCCCACAAGCAAAGGTTTTGTTGTACGGCAGTTTGCCCTGCACAGGCGGGAGCCCATGGGGAAACGTCAACAAGCAAACTGAGGAAGGATTGGAACGCGTAAAAGGGCAACAAAAGGAGTTCACCAAACTCTTCAAGAACTTCGCAAGGCTTGTGCGTGACCACCTTGACTCAAGAACGTTTGTTGCCTTTGAGCTTTCCCGTCGTTGTCGCTATTGGCGTTGGCCGTCGGTGTTGGCTTTCATCAAGCGCCACAACTTGCAAGGGTACAATTTTGACGGATGCATGTTTGGTGTGCGCGATAATCACGGTAACCTAATGCGCAAGAGTTGGCATGTATGCGCGAATCTTCATGAACTTGCATGTCTTGAGCAGTATATGTGTACACATGATCACACTCATGGACAAAGCAGAGGCAAGTCATTGAAGAGTGCAGAAGGCTACACTTTTGAATACACTGATCTTGTTCACCGCTGTTTTAAGCATAGCAGCTCAAGCCGTTCTGCCGCCGTCACGCAGCGTGCCCTGCCAGTGATCGTCGCTGACCCCATCATGTCGGCCGATCAGGAGATGCGCAGGGAGACCTTGGAGATCTTCGAGTCTCACTTCCGCCAGATTGTGGCCTCTGGCTACTATCTGGAGGATGGCTACTCCGAGGACGTCGACGCGGTTTTGAATGGCGTCCTGGGTCAGCGCACAGCACATTCTGTGCTGGCTGGCCTGGTTGAGAAGAACCCATGGCTAGAGCCGGAGTTGGGTCCATTGATTCGGACGCCGCGGCAGGCACTAGCCACCTTCACAGGTGTGCCCACGAGCCAAGACTACCAAACGGTACACATCTTGATCTCTGATTCCACCTTGTGCTTGGTTAGCGGTTCAAAACGCAAACCCCAGAGGTTCGACTTGGCCGATCACTTTCAAGCCTATCGTCCAACTTACTGCAAGCATTTTCACCACGAATGCCTCTGGGGTGCAGAGTTGCCGTTTCTGTTGAAACGTGCCCGTATTGCCGTGAGGAGCCTCAAAAGCCAATTTCCAGGCTGCATGCTGCTGGTGGGCGTGGTATGGTCTGGCAATGAGCTCATCGGCAAGAATGGAATTGAAGCTCAGTCTTCATGGCCCTTCGATCATCCTGACGGCGACCACTACATGGAGCTCCAGGAGAAGGTGCAAGAAGAGCTGGTTGGGTTCGCCGCCGACATGTTCCGGTATGGCGTGCACTCGGCCGCTCTCATCAGCGCGCCCGACGCGGAGACCTACAGCTTTACCCGGTCTGGACCCTTCAGCGACTGGTACAACCGGCTGAGTCAATGGTTCCAGGACGAGGTCTATGGGTCCCAGGTCGGTAAGTGTCGCTTTCGCCTGGTCAACATCAACGTCCTCAACATCCGCATGGACTTGCGTGACCAATGGCATTGCGAGAAATCGGACGAGAACGCAAATCATATGTTCTCATTTTGTCAGAGTGTTTTTCACCTACTGATGAGACTCTACGTTCTCGGAGACATCGCATTGGAAGTAGCTGCGTCTAGCCCGATGAACCGACCGCTTGGTGTGCTGGAACTTCGTGATGATCGCCTCCCACCAAATCAGCGGTACGAAGAGCTACTTCGCAACCTTGCCGATGTCCGCCACAAAAGGGCAGTCGCCGCAGCCGAGCTCGTCGCTCGCGCCCTTACCAAGAAGGACGTTGCTGCGGAGCAGCCAAACAGAGCTGCACCGATTACCGAGGCGGACATGGCCGTCATCGACGACGAGCCCGAAGGTGATCAAGATGATCCAGACCTTTCGGAGATTTTCGTTGCGAATGACGCCACGGCTGAAAAGATTCTCCAGCAGCGCCGTGAAATCATGGAAGAAGAGCAGGAGAAGATCGCTGCAGAGCTGGACATTAGCCGTGACACCTACGACCTACGAGGGTCGGCTCCAGACGCTTGAGGAACTCAGCCATCGTGTTGAAGCCGGTCAGAACCCGGCAGCATGGCTCGATATTGATGCCGAGGAAAGTCCTGCACCTGCCACCAACTCTGCACTTCCACATCCACAAAGTCCTGTGCCTGCCACGAAATATGCATTGCAAGGTCCACAAAGTACTGCACCTGCCACGAAACACGAAAAATAAAAAAACACCAAAAAAAACAAAATTAAGTCGCGGCCCATAAATTCTAGGAACCAAATCATTAGTGCGAGCGCTTCTTCAAGGAAGCTCCCCGCCGCCGCCTTAAGGGCTGCGGGGGAGCTTCCTTGAAGAACCGTGAGCTATCCTGCGTCCTAGCTAGGAGTTTCCTATTGCTAGTAGCTTACCTCCCTGTTTGATTAAGTAGGCGCCTACTTAATTTAGCAAGAAGGCAGGGCCGCGGGCAAAAAAAACACAGATGTTAAGACATCTATTGACTCTTATTGACTCTTGTGTTTGGTCTTCCCGTATCAATTGTTCGATTGAGATTCTTCGCATGGGCATTCTACAGCAAGTATGCTTCGGAGCTCGATGAAGCGGAGAGGACTGAGCTGGAAGACATGGTCAAGGACATTGGAAGCTGTTGACCTGATCAAACGACTTTGGTCAGTGTTATTTATTTGAAAGAAGAAGTCAGCCCATAAAGCTGGTTTTGTTTGTCTTCCAGGAATGCGAGAAGCGGTACAACTGGTGCTTTGATGAAGGCGTTGAACTCAGCTAGCTGAGGTCTTTGCAGAGAAAGAAGAGAGGAACCTTTGATGATTGCAGCAAGTGCTTATTGCGGAGTATTGAAACCGTGACTGAACTGTGACACTGCTCATGACCTTATCAAGGCTACACTCCGGGAGTTCTGCCCATGCGCATCAATTTCGACCCCATTCAGGCCAAGTGCCTCAGTAGTTTGACAAGCCGGCAGAAGATGCACAATATATCCCAGTATCCCTCTCACCACAGGTAAATATTGTAAGGTGTGATGTGGCGACTCTTTGGAGTCTTACAATGGAAACGCATCCAAGGATTAGAGAGGTCCCAGGCCATGAGTCACGACTTGTCACGAGTGCTCGTTTGCGCGGATAGGCTTGGTACCATCCTTTGTGGTACTATGCCTTTGCCTCAAAGTGTTAGCTACGCTCAGCATTTCTACTGGAACAGTCCATGAAGCCTGAATGAAGCCTGAGGCTGCAATTAAGGGCCTTTGCATTGCCACACGATCAGCCATGCAACTGCTCCTCAGTAGCACAACACTGGGTACAAGAACCAAAGCACAAAATGTCCGACAACTGCTTGCACTGCTTGACACTGAGGATGGGTTTCACAAGGTGTAGTGCAGGCCAATTTGAATCAACTTGATGACCCACGTGCTGCTACACTGCACTGCAAAGCCGGCTGTCCAGGTCGACTTTCATATTTTCACCGACCTGCTCCAGCCTATCCAGGGTGGTATGCCCGGCTTTGAAGCAGAGCAACCATCTCACTTGGTTGATCATGTCACGGGTGTGCACACATTTGCGTACTTGAATGCTCAATGAACTGTAAAGCCTTATACAGTTTTACCCATCGCTATTAGGCTGGAGGCCATCGCTAGGTTGGTTATAGCCTTATATCACTTGTAGGTTTCGGATGTTGCGGAGGTTACTCGTGGAGGGCGGTAAACCCGTGCCGCCATCTCAAGACTCACCAGCAGCATGGCTGCACACAGAACAGCCCCTTGGAAGTCTGGGTTAGATGAGGCACCTGTCCGACCATTTTTTGTACAGAGCCGCAGCCGACGGCCAAGGTAGTTCTAATTCATGGCCTTGGTGTTGGAATCACACCTTATCTCAGATTCATTCGTTGGGCACTTAGACTAAGCTTTGCTGACATAAGTTGTATTTTAGAGCCCTTGTAAACCAGCAACCCTTGCATGGCGGTCCTTGCCACTTGGCAACGTGGTGAACTGTGTGAGTTCAACAAGTTTCGATTCTAAGGAATGCTTGGAAGAACTCGAGAATGCTTCGCCCCACCCTCGGATGGGTAACTAACCACTTCAGCATTTGTTTGTTAAAGTTCAGGTGATCGAATTGCCAGAAATCTCACAGGCCGGCCTTTGTTTTTGGACATTTGATGCACGTGCAGTGTCACGAAAGCTGTTTTATACTTGGTTTCCATGTGGTTTGTTGATGAGAGAGGTTCCCCCCGTTTGCCGCCATAGGGCCAGAGGGCATGAATGACTGAGTGCTGTCCGGAAGTTGTAGGTTCCCTCCCTAAAACGGTTGATATTGCACCCAGTCGGCTAGCGTGAACGTCTCTCACAGACAACACAACAGCTGCAAGACGGGCTTTAGCTGCCTCAGGGAAATACAAGGTTGATATCATCGCGAAGTAGTTCTGCCTAGAGTGTTATTTGAGCTTGTTGATGTTGGCCTTCCATATATAGCTATCAAAGAATTTCAAAAGCCAAAGGTTCACAGAGCAATCGACTGCTTTGGATGCATCAAAGCTCTTTGGAAATCAGTCAATGCGGCAACAAGAAAGAAGTGGATCAAGTCGATCTAAGATTAAGTTTTGCAGTGGCTTATTCAACGCTAACCATATCAGCATGGCTGCTAATACTGGCGTTACGCCATCCTCACAAAGAGTCCCCAAGATGCTGTGTCAAAATCCCCACACAAGCTGGCCAATGGTGCGACAGAGGCGAAAGACTATGAAAATGTGCCGCTGCAGTAGGGCTTTATCACATTGGATTTCGGTTGGAAAGGTTGATACTGAAGGAAACATCGTGAGCATCGGCGCAAGACGGCTACCGTCTAACATCAGGCAGAACATATCCAAGACATAAATCAACTTGAACTCCCCCGTTTCATAGCTTGCAGGATGCCTCCTTTGGCATCCCATTTTATGGTGTCCCCCTTGTCGCTTGCTTAAACGTCGTGAATCGTTTTGCCCAACTTCTTGCTGGCTGTGAAGGCTTGTTCTGAAGAAGTGCTTCCACCACAGGACTGCAAGCAGATTGATCATATAGATGTGAAGTTCAGAGACCGTCAATGGTGAATGATTGCCGCAAAGCATGATTTTGATGCTGCGTGGCAAAACGATGTATTGCACAGGAAATGGCTGATGCAATGTGTCAAATGCTAAAAGCGCATGGACATGACAAGGCGGACGAAACGGATGTGTCCAGAGGATTCTTTTTTTCTGAAGTCTTTTGAGGCCGTTTTCCTCGCTCACTCTTATGGGACTTTTGTGATGAGCTGGGTGCTACGGTTCAGGACAACACAGAGAAGTTTGGTCCAATAAATAAAGCTGAGCTGTCGCCGTCACCACTTGAACTGAATTGGAAGGAGGGACATTGTGGCGAAGACTGTGATGCTAGATCCAGTTGCTTTGCTGCTTGCCCAACCTGATGTTGCATACAATTTTCTCTACAGGCGGGTAGATTGGCATGAGACAGAATGTCAGTGCACCAAATATTGATGCAGGCATCCAGACAACCCAATGCTAAAAGTTGTCGCAAACTTTGCACTTCGGCGAATAGAAAGGCATAAAAGTATGCAGAAGTCACTCAACTGCCAAGCCGAGCTCTATTGCCTCAGAAAGTCCTTCTGTGTTCAATTCTGAGGTCCGGTGGGAGCTTTTTGCAGCTCATGTCTTGATGCGCCCCTCGCACGAATCAGTTAGTGTACAATGCGGCGATGGATCAATTCGTTGGATTCGAAATATTATCACATATTATCACATAAATGAATTTTCTCAAGATGGTGTGAGGCTTCTCAGAGCCATGTTACACATCCAAGGTCACTTTTATTGGCATCAGAATGTTGTTTGGAAAGAAGACTTACCGCCAAATTCCTTGGTGGCGTCCCGGCCAGGAAAAGCCAGTGAACGGAGACTATTTTACTTTGCATTATATAATTCTCCTTGCACATCTGAGAGGAGTTTGCTAAATGATGTGTAATTATTTTGCGCAATCGCTAAGGTGATGTCCAGTCATGATGACATTTGTACCCGAGCTCAAAGAGTTGCCAGTGGGTATACCGAGCTCCGGACTGTTCTGCTGATCTCAGGTAACGCACACTACATCCGGAGATATTTGGAAGACCACCAGAGAAGTGGGCACGACAAGACCAATCCCCAGTTCAGTATGATAGTGTTAGAACTTACATACCAGTGCATTTGATGCCTTTTGTATCCTTTTGTTGACAATGCGTTCAGTCTTGACCAATGCCTTTTCACTGTCGAGGTTACAGGTACTTTGGCTTGAAGGTTTTTTCCATGGTCGCTTGACTGCAATCTTCAGAACGACTTGTGAACATGGAAGTACACGCGGAGAGACGTGAGCTCATTCATCCGTCACGATTTGTTTGAAGAGACTTCATGTGTTTGTCCTTCTTCAATTTGCCCTGCCAGGCGGCTTGCTCCTGAATTCGGCTGCTCAGATTCAAGTGCTTGGTTTGCTCAACCTAGGGTGATCTTCATGATTTTAAGACTTTGAATGCAGACTTGCTGAAAGCAAGCACTGCGTGATTGATTTGGTTGGCTTTCGAGCAAGTCAGCAGCACGTCTCAAGCCTGACAACAAGTTGTACCTGTGGTTTGGTTGTATCGTAGTAGTTTTGCAAAAGAGCGTGAGAGAGCTTTGTATCGCGTTTGTCACTTGCAGCAGGCAACACAGTTGAGCTCAAAGGTCCACAAACATAGACTCTTCAGTCTGCACCAAAAGAATCTATCCTCAGATACTTACGCTAACGGCGATCGCTTGGCAAGGCAGAAGGAAGTACGGTGCCTCCACAGCTTCTCAATGCAGCTTCTTGACGAACAGAAATAGCATACAACATCTGCAGAGACTTGAACACTATTAATGCTGAGTCTTCACATGATCAGGTTTTGGCCGGAGGAGCTGCATCTTGGCTGTGAAAGGCTACAATTATTTGCGATTTGCAGAGATAAGGAGCGAGATTACCCGATTAATCGGCAATGAGCTTTGAAGGTCATGAGGCAAGGACGAGTAGTCCTTCGTGGTATTCGCTTAGTGAAGGCTGGTGTGCTGGAGAAATAATGAGACGTTACATATGTATATACATGTATATCTTGAATTACATCAAGCAAATGAGGGAGTCTTGCTACAGTTTTATGGTAGGCGCTTCGGCTGGGCAAAGCGGCAGGAGCTGTGGCATCTGCAAGTGTCTTGGCTTGTATCGGAGTGAAAAGAAGCATTAGACAAACTATTGGTGGTAAGGCACCAGCTGGGCAAACCTTGGAGGCTTTGTGGGCCGGGCTATCTTTTGGACGGTCGCAATCAAGCGGTTGAGCAAACCATTGCAAAACATGCTATGTGTATTTGATTTGGGCTGGGAACCTTGAAACACGCAAAGATGTAGGATGCTTCGCTCGTAGTCGTAGCCAACATAGTATTGCTGACGGGCTATGCACAAGTTGCACCAGCTGTTGGATTGCATTTCTGGAAATACACAGGCACAGGACATCCTTAATTTTGACTTATACTTTGTCGCGAGTTGCAACTTGTGGGAAAAGTGCAGAAAAGGCTCCAGTTCAGGGTTTGCTTGCAGGCGATAGCTGGAAGCCTGCTGGATGATGGAGACACCACAACAGCTGTGGCCACTGCAGCCGGGGGTTGGGCCGGTGGACTTGCAGGAGCTGAACCTTTTTGGATGACATGCTTTCCAAGTCTGTCAGACAAATGCATCAAGGAATGTCGTGTGTGAAAAGAAGGCGAAGTGATGGAAAGACAGGAAGGCAAGGGCCCTTTCAAAAAGGCTCCTTTAAAGGCTGTGCTATGATAAAAGGGGTCCTTATATACCTTTCTGTTTTTCCATCTCAAGAAGACTGTTTTATATCGAGATGTTTGAGTCCAGATTCTTGAAGCGGTTTGCATGGTTTGAACTTGACTTAATTGACTTTATAGAGAGGAGGTAGTTCTGGATGAGGATCGTCGTACTGATTTAAGATGGTGTTACTTCCATTTGTTTGCTCTTCTTCCCCGAAGCGTTGTCATTGCTTGGACAAGGAAGTGGCTTTGCAGCTGCTGCAGCTTCAAGCCTCGGCATAGAGGTGAGACGCAGACTGCAAAAACAGACCGGTCCAGAGAAGGTTTTTGTAATTGCTTTTAAACTACAGAGATGATTTAGATGATACAACTTGGGCCCTGCCCCCCC